TTGTGGATTGAACAATAACAATGTGAAACAGAAAATGGTTATTATAAATAGTCCCGAGTGAGATGAACAATAAAAATGGCTGCGCCCATAGAGTCGCACCTAGTTCTAATAGTACGACATGTACATTGGCATTCTACCCCCTCCAGTTCATTGGTTCGAACGGGTGACAATCCCAAAGTCAGATTTACATTGTACAAATAATTGATTAATTCATGTTTTTCAAATAATTGTAGTATTTATATAAATATATAATTTTAAAACAATACTTACCGTGTATTACTTTTGTTATTAAGCGAAATATATTTGAATTATTCAATTATTCAGTGTACTTTAAATTTAAATATCATTTTATTATTGTAAAACGGACTGATATGCGCACTAACCTGTTGATATAACGCGCATATGTTATAAGCCCCCCTGGTACCTACCTGCCTCACAGTGTAAAAATATGTGGTATAGAACATAGGGTATTACCATAGATTATGCCTGTTTTCCAATGTTATAATTGTCTGAATTATGATCATATTAAAAAATGTGCAAAACTAAGGCGATTAAATGTTTGAATTGTGGGGATGTCTATGAACAAGGGAAGTTTTATATTATAAAGTGTGTACATTGTAAGTCGCTAGAACATACGAGTACACATAAGATGTGCCCTGAACATAAACGGCAAAATTTGACTAGAAAAGCCGTGTCTTCAGATAATGCCTCCCTTTTTGAAGTATTAGAAAAATTCCCCAGAATGTTAAATAATAATAATGAATTTTCACTTCACTCTAGGGATTTTCCTTTTTTACCAAGTAATGAGTCCTCAGAGGACAATATAATTCCCATACGTAGTAGAAGGGCAACCCATGTACAACAAACCCCCTTAAGAAATTCTTTTTCTCAAGTAAATGGGAAAAAAGGAAAGGTGATAACCGAATTGGTTACGATGCAAAGGAACATAACAAATTTTTAATAAGCCCAAGTGGTAAATCACACTGTTCTACTAAGGCATACTAGATCCCCCCTTCGGTAGATGAAGAGGAGGTCTATATAAGTGGTTCAGGGAGAACCAACAAAAATGAGAACGAATCTCATATGCTAAATGATATAATGAATATAGGCAGTAAATTAAATAAATACGATAGAGAACATGTTCTCAAGTTTATATACACCAAAACCTTTTATATTAATGGGGGATTAATATATCCGGTAGAGGAGGGTTTAATTTGCCTTTTTCCTGGGAAGATTTAAAAAAGATCCGCTAGGGGCAGCACCGGTGGGGGGGGGTACATATGTTTTGAATTCTCTATTGACAACTACGTACGTACGTTTTATTATTATCAGAAAATATAAATATTGTGAAAAAAAAAAATTAAAAAACAAATTGTTATGCCTACAAAACATTGTGCGTTTGCTAATTGTACGTCTGACAGTCGTTACAAGCAAGATAGTGTAAAATTTGTGCCTTCTGTAAAACCACAAGTTGACAAAAAAAAAGTGATTGGAGTGGATACATTTATCACGAAGGGCAGACTTAACAGTTGAAAAAATAAAAAATATACTTTTATTTGTACAAGACATTTTATTAATTCAAATGGACCAACAATAGAAAACCTAAATCTATTGTCAGCGACAATTTCAAAGGTTAGTATTTGTTTATTTAGAGAGGTTATATTTTATATCAGTCTACATATAGGACCAGTAGTAATATAATTATACATTATAGCGTAGCAAAAAGAACGAGGGATAGCTTTGAATTGAAAATTTGCCCAGTTTGTAGTAGGAAAAGTGCGGGATGTTGAACTTGGTAGAGTTGAATTGAGTAATTTCATGCGTTGCTGTTTATCCGTTAGACATTTACCACCATCAATTCCAATGAAAATTTTTTTAACATTACCATTTGCAATGCATTCTTAATTCTTACATATATAAACAAAAACAACATATTTTATTTAAAATTATAAAATTTTCAACATTACAATGACATACGAGGAAATTTATAAACCAACTAACCTTTCAACTAGGACATTTTTATTACCTGACACGGTTAAGCCACGATATGCAAGCCATCGTTTTAAGTCCCGGACAAGACGATCTTGCACTTTTGCAAATTTCAATTTCGCTCCAGGTACATCATCTTCCGTCAAAGAATACCTACCCAAGAAGCGAAACTAAATGGGCGATTCGTGGACAAAAAACTGCCAAGTTTACTCAGTGTTTTAGAGGTGGTTAAAGATTACATGCGCACTTGTGGGGTTTTTAAAAATAAAAATTAAACCATGGCCTAAAAATTATTTTAAAATGATTTTTTTTGTCGTCTGTAAAGTCCCACCTCAAGTTACGATAGAATCAGAATGTCTTGAAGTCTTAAACAATTTAAATATTATTGGTATTGGACTATCTCCACCAAAATATCTAAATCCAGTTTGTGACGAAAATGCTCGATCACTTTTTGAAAGCCCTACAACTTCCACAGCTTGTAATCAAACTTTTTTAGAGTTAAAACCTTATTTTTGAATAGTAGTACAATTTCTGACGTGGATTTTAGGACTACACGTAAACATTAGTGAGTCTATCAAGCCGTCCATTGGAGAAAACATTAAAGATTTAATAACACTGAATTTGGAAGGAGATGTGATAAAGGAGCCATCAAATAAAGAAAACATTGCGGAAGGAGAGTCTTTTGATTATTTGTTTTGCAATGAGCTCCTCCAAATGGAATTTGGTTAGTTTCGTATTTTATTGAAATACCTAACAAGTATTATTTATTTTGTTTTTTAGATAAGGAATCATGCGAACCCGAAATTATTGAAAATTGTGAAGATGCAGCTTCCATGATTTAGAAAATAGGTGCGAAGAGAATTTAGAAGAAGTAGACGTGACAAAAATAGATTTACTAGTAAATATTGCAGACGCTGGATTTGAAGACCCAAGTCCTAACAGCGACAATCAGGTTTATATTCTAAAAACGCAGATAGAATCATCAGTGTTACAAGACATGGTAGGTAATGATCAACAGAAAGACAGCGTTGAGCAAGATCCTGATTATACTGTGTCAAGAGAAGAAAACACCAGTGAAAGTTCAGAAGGTGACGACCAAAATAACGAACCACTTTTGAAAAAAACTAAAAAAACAGACAGTAACTTGCTTAAATTTTCCCGGAAAGAAGTTGAAAAACGAAAGAGAAATAGAAATTCTGGCCAAGAATATACAACAGCGAAAAACAGACAAAAACATCAAAGAAAAATGAGAGATCTTAGAGAAAACTGCAGAAATCAATGCAAGGAAAAAATTATGAAAACACAAGACAAACAATTTTTGACGAATATTAGAGTCTGGGAACACACGACAAAAAAGTCGCTTATGTTGCAAGTCTTATAAACCAGAAATAGACTTTGTACATATATTTACAATTTCGAAATAAACGATCAAAGAATAGTTATCTGCAAAAGCTGTTTTTTAAACACCTTTTAAACACCAAAATTCATTTTATGTACTGTGATTAATAAACTCAAATTAAGTAGTGGAATCACTCATGCAGATAATAGAGGTATGCATACTCCTATACATAAAACACCACAAAATAAAATTGACGAAATAAAATCTCACATTAATTCTTTCCCAGATTATGAAAGCCATTACTTAAGACGCCACACAGAGAAAAAGTATTTAGCCGCAGATCTAAATATAAGCAAAATGTACTGTCTATACTGCGAAAAATATCCCGAAAGACCTGTGTCTATAAAAATATACGCTCGTGAATCTAATGGGGGCCAGAATAAAAATTCCTTCACATAATGTTTCATTATGTTATTAATATCCACCAAACATTAGAAATCATAGACCATAAGTTTTTAGTACCTGGACACACTCATCTTGAGTGTGATGTTGACCATGCCCTGATAGAAAAAACAAAAAAGAAAACGTCCATTTATATTCATCTGCCCAGAGACTGGTATCAACTGGTTAGATGAGCGAGCAAAAAAATTATGGATCAAGACCGATTTTTTTTCTTTTTCCGAACTTGTTTCAAGAACCGGACCCTTACAGGTTAAAAACAAAGACTTTAAACTCAGAAGCATTTCTTGGTACAAGAAAGATTCAATGGTTATATTTAAAAATAGTTTAAGTGATGAAGAGGAATTTAAAGAAGTAAAGTTTTTAAAGAAAAATCGGAATGAAAGTAACATGGAAAATTTTAAGCTTAATGTTTTATATGTATAAAGCTCGGAGACCTATAAGCACAAAAAAAAGAAAATTTACTAGAAATTGTAGATTTACTACCGGAATCTGCCAATAAACAAAAGTATTCAGAAGGACACAGATCCGGATGTCGACAGATATCTTGTTCCAGAAGAAGAATCCACATTTTAAAGCTAAATCCAAAAAATCGTTTATTGTCTATACCTAATATGTTTCTTTTTCTTGTTAAAACTTGTTTCTTAAAAGTAACTATACATAATATGTGTATGTTTTTTAAACATAACTGTATTTGTTTTTTTACTACCGAAATAAAATAAATGAAAAAATATCATATCTAGACTTGTCCCTTTTTAAGCGTGTTTACATTATAGCTAAACGTCAAATTAAAACACATATACCCTTTCTACATACATTGTTGGATAAAAAGGAAATAAGTTATGAAAATTATGGCAAATACTAATTATTTCTTTCAAAGTACTTTACTGCTTTCAAAGGAATATGTTTAATTATACTTATGTAAGATCAACTGTGTGGATCGTCGATTTGGATTCTAAAAATCCTTATTGATGTGTCCTAAAATTTTCTAGCGCCATTCAAAATGTGTAATATCGACTTATTACTTTTTAAGCGCCGACCACAGAAGTGTATCCTTTACTTTTCGATTTTTTAACCAATATTCTATCTCTCTTCTTTAAAACCAAATTAGTTCCAATAGTTTTTGAGGATATGCAGTAGCACACGGCTTGAGGAACTAAAATAAAACTCTTGATAACTAAAATTTTCATATATTAATAAAAATGCCCTTAAATACATAAGAGAACATCTACAAACAAGCTAAAAACAGTTTATGACAACTTCCATCTGGTATAAATCTGACATATGGCTCGTTCGCAGTTCTAAGACCAAGTTTGAATTTGCTGTTGGCCTCACGGCGTATCCAAACGATATCGAAATGGTCCATTACCGGTCTCTGCGCTATCAATTTACTATTCTTTGGAGGTGGAAGTTGATTGGAAGCATGTCTATTGAATCCCATATCGAAACAAATTTTGTTTAGTTCTTCCGTCGATACGGTTTTGTTGAAACAACCAGAATGCCAAATTCCTGCTGTTCGTCGTATCAATTCACCTGCATTGGATCTGTGATCAAAAATATAAAATAAAGGAAATTAGCATTTGAACCATTGATATTTAGTATAAGTACTTTTCTATATCCTTAACCACTCGACTTTCAGCATTTTTTGTATACAAGGTGTTTCTTATCATACTAGAACTGATCGGTCAAATAACAGGGCAAAGGACACTTGGTCTGTTATCAATTAATTGAGAAGTTAAAAAGGTTAGGTTGTAAATAAATCAAATAATCCTATCGTCTTCTACTGCGACGCAGATGGATTTTTTAGATAATCTAAACCCTAAATGTTTTGGTCCCCTGAAGCCGAATCATTCAGCGATGTATGTCCCTAAATGTCTCGATTTCCTCCAGAATGGACCCTATAATTTCTTACGAGATTTAGCAATGGAAAAGTTACTATTTTAAAGCAGAAACGGTGCTGCTTCTTTACAAAATGACCTTAGGAATCATACCATAAAATATTAGCACGTCATTAAGGAACACCTTGCATACATACCTAAAAGGAATGTAATATTTTCGGGGGTAAGAGGTATACTTACGTTTCATTTTTCTCGTCAACAATATTCAAGCAAACTTTTTCATCTTCTGCGTTAGGGCAATCTTCGAATCCATCACAAACCATATCGTTGGCAATACAGTGATCAGTACTGTAAAAAAAAACAGTGCATTAAAATTATATATTTAGACTAAGGAAACACTTTTTTGTATAATAATAGTAAGTAGCGGTAGTAAGATAAAAACGTTAGTTTAGATTTTTGTTTGGATTTTTTAGATTAAATTGTTTTAAGTAGCAGAATAGCTATTTATGAATCCAGTATCCAGTTACGAAATGCCCTATTTTATGTAATGAGTGAATATTTGCAGGACGAGCAGAATGAGGTCCCGCAACATGAACGAGTTACATAAAACGGCATTTCGTAACGTATTACATACAATATTTTTTTCTAATTTTGACTAGATTATTTATAAAATTGTTTTGGTAAAAAATTACTGACATCTAGGCAATCAATATTACTACTTTTTTGTATTGTTAGTTGCATGATTAACTTCATTCTTTTATTAACAAATATTCATATTCATTTATTCTTAACGACTTATTGTAGTGTGTTTATATTGCTTGTTAGAGTTATTTAGATTTAAAGAAAGTGGGTTATTTTGTCGTGTATCGTGTTTTAATCATTTTGTGCAGATTTAGAATTAAAAATAGGGACCAAAACAACATTATTACTAGTTTGTAAGTTTAACTAAATTCTATTTTTAACCTGCCCTTCTTTGATATAAATTTTCAATAATAATATATATTATTGAAGATAAAACCAAAAAAAAGTTTTATTTTTATTTCTTTTCTTTTTGCAACTGGTGATATATTGAATTTTTCGAAACCAGTTTCATAGTGTTAAACATTATATGTAACTGGTTGCGTAAAGTAGATCATTTTGACACTTGCTACGATACAAAAAATGTCACTTCTCAAAATTTTGTTTTGGCAAGTTAACGGCCTTTAAATGTATGCACGTTACTTCAAGTAGTGGCCTTTCAGTGGGGTCTGCAATTGGTAGGTCGACTTTGTGACACAAAGGGGGCGGCAGAAGGCCATCGTCAATTTACCAGTAATAAGTAATTAAATGCTTGCACATTGCCAGCAGTTTCTCATAATATTAATGTCCTTGAATGGACTTGCATAAGGCTCGTAACTTTACCAGGTATAAATATTGAAAGGTCTGCACAAAGCCAGCAGTCTCCTCTAAACAGCTTGCATCTTATAAAAATGATGCCGAACTTTTAAAGGGAATGTACCACGTGTGTCTTATGCTAAAAAGTAAAAGTAAGAAATTACAATAAATACTGAATAGTGAATACCAGCAATGCGATACTGGCCGCATAGTACATGTCCAGTATGCAGCAAGGAATCGTCGGTGTCTCCATCTATGAAAGCGGGACGGAGTCCTTCTGGACTGTTGGGGTTAGGTCTGCCGCAATTTGACGACTTTTGACTTTTACCATGCTTTTACAGATGAATGTGGAAAAAAGTTAAAAAGCCGTCAATGGCCCATTAAATAGTTAAAGTTTAAAGGCAGTTAATTACAAATTTCAAAAGTTCTATAACGAGTTTACCGTTACAAGTTAATTTGCCACATCATTCGTTAAAGGACCAACAACGTGCCACAATTTCAATATCTGTTGGGTTTATGTGTCAAAATTAGAAAAATGTATTTTTTGATATCTATTTTTAAATAGCATACCCAGCTAGCACATAAGGTTGCGAAGCCTTTCGGCGATGTTGCTTGAAGGGAACGTAATAACATTATTTTAAAACGTAAATGCAACGTTCATGAGAAGTTGTTGAGGGAAACCAAGACCTCGCAAAACTTCTATTTGTTATTTACCTCAATGTAATAAAGTAATTTGCTAAAAAAAGTACTGTGAACATCACAATCTGAATTTTAAACGTTTAACGTTGTCAATTATCTTTTGTCACTTTTTTTTGTCATTTGTCATGTTTTTGGTCGTTGTTTTTTAACTTGGAGAATTTATTTTACAAATAATTATTATTTATACATTTGAGTAGATTTGGTAAGTGTCCTCTATAAATATAGAAAACTAAACCATTGTCTTTGTTTCAGATACCAATGCCTGGTGTAATTTTAATACATATTCCATTCATTAGATACCTATCCAATAAAAAATGGTTTAACTACAATAAAAACAAAGAATGGCAGATAAATCACTGTACACGAGAAGATAAACATTTAAGTTTTCTTTGTACCTGATAACACTCTAGGAATTTTAAAAGCAAAAGTAAATACTAGAGAATTGTCTGAAGAAGAATATAATAATACCTGAAATTTGATAAAAAGTGAATTTATAGCGTAGGTGTACATGGCACGTCTATATTGAAAAAAAAAACATCAGATTTAAGCATTCTCTTCAAAAGGCTAGATGTGCGTGGAAATTTAAACATTAGTTCAAGTGCAAACCCAGAAGAAAAGTTAAAAGAAATCACAGATGATGCTCTCGAGTTTATAGCTAAAAAACATGAGTTGTTTGGTTGTTTTATTTAAAACAACAAAGTAAAACAAAATTATCTAAAAATAAGTGTAACGATTTAAACTTGAACATATTTTTTAATTTCTATAAGTATATACGTATCTAAATAAAAAAAGTTAAAAGACTTGATTTAAAAAAGATGATATATCTCTGCATCTACAGGTACGAAATCAGTAATCTCAGCTATTCTCTACTATAATTATATACCTATTGTTGCAATTGTCTATTATTATTCACCGAACTAGTTTTAACATCGTACAATTAATATTTTGATAAAAATCTAGTGAATCTTTGAAACATACCTTATATTAATATACTTTTGTACAATCGTTCACCGTTTAAGCTTCTAGTAAACCTTTGCAATATTCGTACCTTATTATAATAATTACCTAATTTTGTCAAATCGTTCAGTGCTTTATAGGTAGCTTCTACTATCGCACATGTGTAATAAATTATTTTGTTTTATTTTAAATTTCCATGTCCGATTGAGGTTTTACTATAACCTCCGTTTTAGGGTCTCTTTATTACGTAAAGAACAATATAGTGTGTCCACGGATTGACTTAACTATACTTGTAAAAATATCTATTTTAAAGTAAAAAAAGTTATTTCTCATAATTTCTCAACGTGAATTATATTTATTTAATAAGCAAAAGAAATTATAAAGATTTACTGTTTTTAATTTAAAATGCTGTAGAACTAATTCATATTATAACATCTATAAAACGTTTCAGAGCAACTTTCGGGGAAAGTACCGTAAAAGTACTAGTGTGATGTTTTCTGAACCTCACTTTGTAACCTCTATGAGATGTGCTACAAAAGTCTTGCCGTTGCAAACATTCGGCGGTTGCATGGGTATTAGGGTTACATTAAAAGTACATTGCATGCGAGCTTAAATGGCTTAAAATTGCAACTTATTAACGTAGATGGGATGTTTTTGTGCCAGCTGGGTAGGTTGTACAAAAATCTTCGGATGGATACGTGAGATATTTTTAAAAAAGAAAATTTAATATACAGGGTGTTTCAAAAAGATTGGTCATAAATTATACCACGTATTCTTGGATCAAAAATAGGTCGATTAAACCGTACTTACCTATATACAAAAGTGCACCCAAAAATAGTTACAGGGTGTATAAGATAAAAATTTAAATGTATTTTTTTAACGTTTCTCTTAAACCGTTTGACATTTTTTCATAAAATTTTATATGACGTGTTGGAATACCATGACTAATAAAATTGAGATAGTGGCAATATATATTTTTTTTATTTTTGTAGGATTTTGGAGGGTGTCACCGCCCCTTTCTCTACTCAACTTTTTTGTAATATAAAATTTTATTAAAAATCAAACGCTACTGAAATGCAACATCTATTTGGAAACTTTTTTGTCTCTTAGTATTGGTTTGTAAAATGTTTGGTTTAGACGATACAGCCAATTAAAATGACATCTTAAAAATATTCAATGTAAATTATACGTAAGCAAAAATATCAAAATTCAATTTTCATTGTTAAAACTATGTAGTAAGTGTATACAGGAGGAGAATGTAATTTTAAACACCTATTGAATTAAATTTTTTTATTTTGATGACATTAGTTTGTAATTTAAAAATAAACTTCATTTTGATATTTTTCATACGTAGAATTTCCATTGAATATTTTTAAGTTGTCATTTCAAATGGCTGTATCGTCTAAACTAAACTTTTTACAAACAAATACTAGGAGCCAAAAAGTTTCCAAATGGATGTTGCATTTGAGTGGCGTTTCATTTGTAATTACATTTTATACTACAAAAAGTTGAGTGGAGAAAAAAGCGGTGACCCCCTCCAAAACCCTATAAAAATCAAGAAAAAAATATTGCCTCTTCCTCGGTATTATTAGGTTTAAGAGCAACGTTAAAAAAATTCATTTAAATTTTTTTCTTATACACCCTGTAACTATTTTTGGGTGCACTTTTGTATATAGGTTTAATCGACCTATTTTTGACCCAAGAATATGTGGTATAATTTATGACCAATCTTTTTGAAACACCCTGTAGAATTCAAAAGTAAAGAACAGTTCTCTTTTAGATAATTAATTTTTGATATATCATGATTATAATTAAATAATTAAGGAATAATCTCAGCGAACAAAATGTCAATAAATACTAAAGTTTAAGGGTTAGAGATTTGAAATCTGTTAAGCTCACCTAATGCATCTAAATCCGTTTGACAGACAAGGACATCTTTGTGGATCTTCGTCACTTCTATCAGCGCAATGTACGATTCCATCACAAACTTTATAGGGGCTGGTAAGTTCCAAATAGGCCCTGCAATCACATACGTCAGGTTCATCGCTGAAATCGCCGCCGCAATCGTCCCTTCTGTCACAGAACTTACTCTTCGGGATACACGTTTTACTTTTGCATTTCAATTCGGTACGGTGGCATGCTGGAAATCATAAATTTAAGTGATTTATTTTCAGTTTACTTAATTTTTTTTAATCAATCCACGAAATATTATCACTTCGTTGGGGCTTAATTATTTTATTATCTGTTGGGTTATAATTAACAGTTGTGCTCCTAAAGTGGCGCTGAGAAACAGCAACAAAACCTACGCTGACCACGAGGCTAATAACCTTTGAATACTCAATCTCTTGACTGCTCTTCTACTAATATATTAAAGCTGAAGAATCATTATCAATCTACACCAAAGAAATTTTTTGAATCAAACTTGAGTGGCGATTTCCAAGATTTCAGTCGAACGTAGTTTTCCTTGTTTAAAAAGAATTAAAACATATCTACGAAATAAAATATATTTTCTATTGGATTGGGACACCCTGTATATATTTATAATTTGCATCCGCCGTTGAGTTAGAAATTTTCTATATTTTTCATATAAATTATTTGATATTGAAGGATTTCAACTAATTTTAAATAAATAAAGATTCGGGTTAATTTGTGCCAAAGAAATTTTTAATATCATTATTTATTTGTAGTTTACCCAACAAGCCTCTGTCCCGTTGAGCGTGACGCGCATCCTGTATACGAATTTTGGCCATTTCCTGGTCCACCATGTAGTACGCAAATAAATACGATTACCTACTACTTGTTCTATCTATCGAAAATTTTATAAATAAAGTGAAAAATAACGGAAGATATCTAATAAACTTAGCTTTACAATGCAGTATTCTGTATTATCAACAAACTGTGTCTGCGCTACTTACCGCACTCTCCCGTCAGATGGCACATGCGTTCGTTTTCGTAGCACAACGTCGAGTCTTCATCTTCGCCGCCTCTGCAATCTTGTATGCCGTTGCAGGTTTGGTTTTTCGTTATGCATTCGCCTAATGCACATCTAAATCCGCTACATTCCGGCCCATCAATATTCAATGAGGTCTTTTCTGAAATTTATCACGGAGAAAACAAAGTCTGTTATTTATTCATGCGGATAAGTAAAATCGGCGAAATTTTATTTATTAGGATTATGGATTGGAATACGATAAACTGAGGAAAATATGCTATGTAGGTAATGTAGATATTTATCGAACAAAAATAATTTTATTGTGGAATTAAAAAGAGACTTTAATAATTATCATGAACTAACACATTAATAGATATATTCACCGGTAAACAATAGAATTTTTAACAAAGAAAATACCTAGATAAAAATAAAAAAAACAGATTCTTAGTAAATAAAATAAATATACCGAGGGGTAAACCACTTCCGAAATACTGGTACGTTTTCACTCGAAATCACTACAAATTTTCTCGAATTTTCCGAAATTATCGCTTGTAATGAAAGAAAAAAGGTCATCGTATAAAAATAAGAACATTCGACAAAATTACCGAATTCATATAAAATAAATTTTAGGTGATTTCCGAAATTGGAGTGCGTTTTGACCTAAGTGTTTTTTTTTTCTCGAAATAAACCAACTACAATACACTATTATTTTAATAAGGAATGTGCCCATTTAAGGGAGTGAGGCAATTGTGCGCACTCAAGCGAAAATTGTTATAGCACTGATAGCATTGTAGATAATTTAAATGTAAATATCGCAATAGGGGTGCAATTTAGTCTACTCTCAGCACTTAATCAATTTTGGGAAAAAATAAAATATTTAAAGTACAATACTGCTGCAAGTACAAAAGTGCTGTTGCGCACCATTCCCCGCCATTGGTAATGGTGCGCAAGTGTTGGGGAATCGTGCGCATACAAGTATTAAGTATAAGATAAAACCAATACTAACTTTAAAAACATTTATTGAAGTTGTGGAACAAAAAAAACATACTGACTCCTAATTTGAGCATAGGTCACATTTATAATTTTTCGGGGTATCTGAGCCAGTACATTCGGCATGGTTCCAAATTGAGCAAAGGACACATCTTTACCATAATTCTCGTTGTTTGCCAAATTCACCGCAAATACCATAAACTTCGGTGAGTTTCCCTGGCGGATTCAAATTTGGCGGTACGAAGCTCAGCCCAACGTCATCTTCAATATCATCCAGCTCATCGTCGTCACAAATATCCGACACATCATCTTCTGATGAATCAGATGATTCAGGCGTTGGCGGTCTCTTTTGTTTGCTTTTGAATTTCTTTGAAGACGACGGAATTGATAATTCACCGTCCAAACATTTACGAATAACTTCTTCTTTGTCTTTTTTTTGTCTTCAGCTTCCTTCAGTTTTGGTTTGATGGGAATACTTTCTTAAGAATTTCCGATTTCTGTTCTTAGATTTTCTTTTCGTTCTGTGGATAACTTTTGTTTTTGGTATTGGAGCCATAGCAAAGAAATAATTATCATAAGACGTAGATGGCTAAGGGCTCGAATCTCTCTGATGTAAATCTGGGCGATTATCTGGAATAGTTGCTGCACCATCTTGACAGGATGAAGTTTTAAGTTCAGGTGTTGCTTCTACTGTAAGTTTTGCTACATAGTGGCTAGGTTCAAAATCATCGGTAAATTTGTCGGGATCCAGTGAAGATATTCCAGACGTTTGAAACCCTGAAACTGCTTTTTCCATTGTAGCCACTTTCATGAAGGCTTTGTTTGTTCTTAGAATATTTGAACGCCCCAATTGGTCCATTTTTCTCGAGAGGTTTAGGCATCCTTTTTCTAGGATATATTATCATGGTAGGGATGTAGTTCCCAGCCGCATTCATACAAAATACAGCTGTTATTGTTCTTCCTCTTTCGCCAGAAATTGCAGCTTCTACTTTTTTAGATCCCTTACGACCATAAACTTTAGGGCATTTGTTCTGCATCGTGGTGATGCCTGTCTCATTCATGTTGTAAACACTCTTGGGTTCAAACTTAAACCTTTCCACGATAGTTTGAAGGTTTGAAAAAAATAATTTGGTTGAGTCTTTATTAAAAAATGCAATCCAATTCAAACTGGTTGCTACAGGCTGCCGTAGCTTTATATCAGGTGATCTCCTTAAAAATCCATACAGCCAGTCCTTAGTCCTTCCCAGCTAATCCCTTTTTCTTGTAAAATTTATGGACAATGTTATGTTGCTCAGCATATCTAAAAGCTAGTCGCCTAAGATACCACCAGGGTGTTAGGCCATAGAAAACGTACTCTCTTAACTCAGATTCTATTTCCTCTAAAAATACAGACTTGCAACCCAAATGAGGAGGCTTCGGCTCATTTTCTGATAGTTTTTTCTGAGTGTCGGTTCAAGAATATTGAAGGACCTTTCTGCATCCCTTATTTTTCTGCCATCATTTCTTATCGCAAATAATGCTTTTTGTAAATTTTCTTCCTTATATGAAAGAATTGTGGCTTTCCTTATACAATTTCTCGGCATCTGAAAAAAAATATCTTTAAAATTAGATTACGTGTGGGGTAAGGGTGCGCATCAGCGCGCATCATTACCCCTTGAGACATTAAATGACAATCTGTAATACAGTTAGCAAACTACGTTACCTAACAATGTAAAACAAGCATCAATAGATGCAAAAGAATATACTTTTTCATAAAATAAATATATTTTATCGATTAAGAAAAAAAAGTGGACTCACCGTCTTATTTTCGATGTGAAAAAATTACAGAAACTGGCTGGATTTCAAATAAACAGAGCTCGTTCCGTGCAAACTTAAACAACTGATGTGAGTAATGGTGTCAGTGATGCACAGTAGAAAGGAGAGAGCGCAGCACTAGTCGGTGGCGCTTAAGAGCCCGCGAAGTATGAAATAGTTTGATGCGCACGATTACTCGATGCGCACGATTCCCCCACTCTCCCTTAATGAAATAATAAGACAGTGATACAGACAATACCTTATAAAATTAGATTGATGAAAATAAAATAAAATCAATTTCAATTCCGCATTAAATTAATTTTTATCAACACCAATCCCACATAAAATTAACTAAAAAAAAAAAAAAATCCAAATACTCATCTATCCTTTTATTGCCCCTAAAAGCAGCAAAATGTATAGAAAAGTCATGCTTAAGCTCCCAATCGAACATACCAAAAACTAAAATTGACGCAAAGCAACTCTATACCAAATACAAAAGTGATATAATTTGTGACATAATGCTCGTACATCCTAAATACATATAGCGTACTTCGTCAATGACCTTTTTCTGGGACTTTGGGGACGAGAATAAAACTTAGAGCCCAGCCTGCCCCGCCGAATCCAGAAAATAATAATATATCGAATTTTTATATGGGGTAAATTTTGATTAAATACATTTTTGCGGGATTGCCATTGACAAAATTATTTTAAACGCACATAAACTTGAATTTTAGGCGGGACTGGTTTTGATGAAATACATTATAAACCTCATAAAATTAATTTTATGTGGGATTGGTTTTACAAAATTAATTTTATGTGGAATTTACTTTGTGGATCATTGTCTTATTATTAGGACACTAATATTGTATTGTGTTGTCCTACCACGAATGGTAAACAAAGGGCAGCTCTATCTATTTGGCATCTGAATTACGCTAGTGTCTTACCCGAAGAATTTTATTAAACCCGAATTTCGAAGAATGAACACCAAACCCGGAATCTCCGGGTTGAATTTAACGAAGTTGGCAGGCACGACGAGAGGGGGACAGGAGGGACAAATTGCCGGGGCCCGTGCACAAGGGAGGCTTGGCAGAGTTTTAGCTGAGGTCGTTTTTTTAGAAATTCGCTACAAAAGGGAGTACCTGTGTAGAAAATATATTATTTACGTGCGCCTACGTATTATTTTTATTTTTATGTAGTAATTTATGAATGTCACTGGGATAATAATTTGAATGTTTATGTTAATTACAATTTCGTAATATATTCAAAGTATAATCGTAGTAAAACAATTTCCCTTGGATTTATTATTTTACATTGGTCGGAAGAAGCCCAAGAAAGAATGAAGGTTGTTAGTAGGAAGAGCGAAATTTTTAAACAAAAGATTGGTATTTAAAAGAAAATATTAGAACTTGAGTATTGTGCTAGTGTTTCCTTATCATCTCCTTCATCTCGCCAAACTAGTCGCTCAAATAGTTTCCATGGCAGCGAAGAAATAAGGAAGTGGATAGAAGATGGAAAAAAGATATCTGAAATTGTACGAATTAAGATCAACTTCCTAATTTTTGTCAGGAGGTTCCTAACACATATAACTTTATCAATTATCAGCTAACTAATGATAATTTAAACAACTCTATGTCTGTTCAAATTGATAATAAAAACACCGACCATAATCTGCTTTTAAATATTGGCAAGCAGTGTGTTGAGAATACTGCAAATACAAATAAATTCCTCTTTGGTCAAACGTTAAGAGATCTGGCACAATTTTCCGGAGAACTAAGCGAATGGCCAATCTTTATTAGTGAATTCCGTAGAACTATAGATGCTTATAGTATATCCGATGCAGAAAATCTGATTCGATTAGACAGAGCTCTTCGGGGAAAAGCTAGAGAAACAGTTCGAGCTTTTTATTGCCATCTACTAATAATATTTCCAAAATCATCAGAATGCTACAAATTAATTTTGGAAGAACCGAATGGATAATTATGTCACTAATAGATACAGTAAGAAAATTTGCGCCAGTGAAGGAAGATCGATTAGAAACCTTTATATCTTTATGTAATGCAGTAAATAATATGCTGACTACAATGGAAAATATTAATGGTTGCTCCTATTTAAATAATCCAGAACTAATATCCACGCTGTTGGATAAATTTCCTGTAGTTCAAAAATATAATTGGGCAAAGTATAGGCGACAACTAGAATTTCAGAATCAGCAGATTACCCTAAATGACTTTGCAATTTGGGTGGAAGAAGAAGCTGACCTAATGTCTTGCATTAAAAATCCTTTCCACAGAAATAAGACTAGTTGTAAGAAAGAAAATGTTTAAGTATCTGAAAAAAGGCATGTTAGGTCGGTACATACTTCAACCGTTGCTACAG